TTTTTTTTTATCGTTAATGAATTATTAATTCTTTAATTTATTAATTATTTAAATTATTACAAAACAAACTACCTCGAAAATTGACTTTGAAACTATGCATTTTCTATTTCTATGTCTTCTTTGTTCCTCAACCAAGAAGTCACTTGGTCTATCCGTCCTTACAAACAATACCTCTGTACTATAATCTCTTCTCAAACCATTCATCTTTCACAAAAAATAATTAAAACAAATGGAATTACTGGAACTATTATTCGAAATGGAAGATGTATTAGAAAAGGAAGAACAAGACAAAGAGATGTTGTACAAATTAAAACCTCTACTGAAACATCATATTGGGTTATAAGTAAATTAATACCACTTTCAACAAAAGACATAACTACAATACCTAGAATTTATTCATTAAATGACCTTTCCATTAAAATTAAAAACTTACCAAAACCAATAACCTATAGTTCAGAAAAGAAGCTTATAAAATCAAACTCTCTTCCTTTATTTTTTCTGAAAAATAAAAAAATTCCAATTGACTCACAACTTCTTACAGATATATTTAAGTCAGGTACTTCTCTTCAAAACCTTTGTTCAATAACAAACGAATGTCTATCTCCTCTTACTCGTGGATTATCTCAAATTAATACTTTTAATGAATCAGAAGTAATTGGATATTTCAACCATTTATGTTTAAAAGCAAAAGACTTTTATGAGAATGGGGATGTAGTTGAAATGGTTGTTCGAATAAGTTTTATTTATTCTCAAATTCTTACTTTATGGGAAGTAAAAACTAATCTGTTTGGATGGAATACCATCATTAAACATTATTGCAATCAAATAGAACAATTATTTCCTTTATTAAAAATAATTGCATCTTCTCCTTTACTTCAACACTTTGAACTTGTTAGAAGGTCTTTTCATCTTGACTTGAAATTAGATGATCTTTTATCAGATTCAAGACAAGTCTTAAAAGAATCTCGCTTGTTTGTTTGGAATGAAAAAACAAGAGAACATTGGAATTCTTATGAGAAATTAAACACACCCCTTCAACCAGTGTAATTTAGATGTTCATTTTTATTTAATGTGCTGTCTAAAACAATTGTTATTATTTTATTTCTAAATATGTCAAATGAAATATTCTAATAAGTGTACAGCTAATTTAAATGAGTTCTAATCTGTCTTATCATTTACAAAATACACAATTTATACAATTGATAATTACTTAATAAGTAATGATAAGTCAAACACTTGACATTTATCTTTTTATTGAATGTAATGAATATCTTTAGTTTCAAAAATAATAATAACACTGTTTTTTGTGAAAATTTAGTGATAAACTCATTCTGTATTTTAGCTCTCTTAATTGATTCTTTATCTTCCATAGTTTGTAATATTTCATATATAGGTTCTCTTGATTTAATTTATTCTTTTATAGACAAATATTCAATTTGTTTAACAAACAATAAATCTCTTGTTGTTATAATATTCTCAAATATAACTAAATCTTTTCGGAATAGCTTCAAATGACTTTTCAAGTCATAACAATAACAAAACTAATGTTTGTTATTATTTATAATTTCTGACATTGTTTATTACTTGAGCAACAAGAGAATTAAGTCTCTTTCTTGTAAAAGAGTTAGATAATGAAGAAAAGTATGTGACAATAATGATAATGAAGAATTTCTGATATTTTTCAGAGAATAAGTATTTTCTTTGAGAGAGAATTAAGGTATTTTATATTTATAAATACAAGAAGAAAATGATATATGATTTATTTTTAAAATGATAATACTAAATTTATCAAATGACAGCAAGTGTATCTCCATGACGAAAACAATTTATTTTTTGACTAAACAAAGAACAAGCATGACTTTCTTTTAATAAAGAATCAATTATAAATACATTTTACTAATAGAGACATTCATAGTGTCTGTATTTGATGGAACAAATAAAGGACTAAATTGAGCTTTAAGAGATTGAAGAAGTACTTGTTCAAATTCATTTAATTGTCTTTTAATTTCTTCTTCTGCATTAGTAACATTTGAATCACAGCTCTTTTCGTTTTTCATTGTCAGACTAGATGATATGGTTTTATGAGATGAACGATATAAATTTAAAGTATGACAGAATTTGTTTTGGTAATTCTTCTTCTGAACTTTTTCTATTTTTTTGATGGAGTTTTTGATTTGAATGAAACTCAACAAAAATATATTTTTGTAAATTATTGTTATATATTACAAAAATAAAATACAACAATCTAAAAAATCGAGGGAATAATCAAAAATCTTAATTAAATGACTACCACATTAATTGTTATTTGTCTTTCCATATCACTAACATTAGGTAAACCTGTTTTTGTAGAAGTAAAAGAAAATGAAATCACTAGAGAAGTACTTCCAGGAATGATCTTCCTTCCTCTTTTTGTATTAGCAACGGTTCTATTCATTGTTATTCGTACAACGTTTCAAGCAATTCGTGATCGAAGAAAAAGACCATTAAACAGTGCTGAAGTGGTTGAACAAATGACATTTTAATTGATTTTTGTTATTAAAATCAAATT